TTTCTTGAAGAACTCCTTGCTGTTTTCTTCAAGAGCAGGGAGCACGTCATCGGCAAACTCTTCCCGAAGTTGCTCCTCCGATTTTCTGTTCAGTGCCTCAACTCTGATCCGGTCCAGCTCCTGGGTAAGAGCCAGACAACTTTCCTCTGAGCCTACCGCCCTCTCCTCCGCAGCAGAAAGCCGTCGCGTCTGCTCGGTTATCCTCCTCTCAGCATCGGCAAGGGCAGCACTTAGCTTTTCAGCGCCAACCTTAGCCGACTCGGCGTCCTTGACGAGTTGCTCGATTTGAGCCGCCTGCCCCTCCAGGGTAGAGTCCCTGGCAGCTACATCCTCCATGGCTCGGGCGAGGGCCCCCTCCGCCTCCTCCTTCTGCTCTCGGGCCCGCTGGAGGTCCATCCTAGACCCATGGTACCGAGCAGCTATTATGGAGATCTGCTGGGTAGCCTGCAAAGGAGGGAAAAAAGTGTTATCACAAAAATGGAAAGCAAGAGNACCCATGGTACCGAGCAACTATTATCGAGATCTGCTGGGTAGCCTGCAAAGGAGGGAAAAAAGTGTTAATCACAAAAAACGAAAAGCAAGAGAGAAGAAACCAAAGCAGAAATAAACTTACCACTAGGGAATTCTGGATGATGGAGCGGACCAACACATTCGTTGAACGCCCCTTGTGAGCCACCATGTCGGCCTCGAAATGCAGTGTCTCACTCACTGCATTGGCGACATGAGGATCCAGCAAAATGGAATCATCGACCCTGATCACTCGGTTCATGTGATCAGTGGCTCGGGGATTCCACTCCGCGGCCTCCACTGTAGGCGGAAGGGATGGGGGAGTCAGCTGCTGCTGTTGTTGCTGTTGTCGTGGTTGTTGCTGTTGCTGCTGTTGTGGAGGAGCAGGGGGTAACCCACGGCCTCTCCCGCTATGCTGCTGAGCGGGAGGTGCCCTGGATCCTCGGCCGAGGCCATCATGCCGATGTTTGACCCTTCTCTCCTCCTCCACTTGAGGATCCCGGTCTCGCACCTGACCCCGATCGAGGACCCTTGAGGATGGGGTGGAACTGGTCCCTGCAGAGGGGGTGCCGCCGGTCGTTCCTCGACCTCTCCCGGCTGCGAGGGCTTGCCTCTGCCTAAGGAACCCCAAATCGATGCGAGGGGTGCTGGACATCGCTACCTCGAGGGCGTCCTCGGCGTCTAAGGATTGAAGAACTTGGAAGTCTGGCCACAAGTCTCCTCCCGAAGTCCCCACCTCGGCGTCTGAAGGAACAGCGTCCTCTCTGACCCCGAGCTCTTCAGCAACTCCCTCTACCTCTGCCTCCGAAGCCCGATCCGGGTCGTCCTTCAAGTTTTCCTCAACCTCTAACCTCGCCGCCTGATCGAAGAGTTCAGACCACCTCGAAGGCTCAAAAGGCTGAGGAAGCTGTGAAAATTTCTTATACCCTGGGGTATAATTCAGCAGGATGTGGGCAGCCTGGCCAAACCCGTTGTCACCCGTGAATCTCCAAACCGTGATTAGGTCGGCAAAGTTCACCAGCGACCGAGGGGGAGGAGCTGTTTCCCGAGCAGNATGTATGCTAGTGCAGTGGGAAGCTTAATATATGTCATGGTTTGCAATAGGCCAGATATCTCACATGCAGTCAATGTTATAAGTAAGTACAAGAAAAACCTGGGAAAGGAGCACTGGAATGCAGTTAAATGGATTTTCAGGTATTTGAAAGGTACAGTGGATTTCAGCATCTTATATCAAAGACAAGATCAAACCATGCAGGTGATTTGGATAAGCGGAGGTTTACTATAGGTTATATTTTTACTCTTGCAGGTGGACTTATCAATTGGAAAGCTATGCTTCAATCAATCCCCCGCTTTATCTATAACTGAAGCGGAGCATATAACAACGACGAAAGCTGCTAAAGAGGCTTTGTGGTTGATAAGTTTGGTCAAAGAATTGAGATTGAAGCAAGAAAACTTGGAGCTGTGTTGTGATAGTCAAAGTGATATTCACTTAGCAAAAAAACAAGTTTATCATGTCAGGACAAAACTCATCAACGTGAGGTATCACAATATCAGATAATGGGTGGAGAATAGTAAGATAAGTTTGATGAAAGTACACACGGAGAATAATGTAGCGGATATATTGACAAAACCAGTGACTACACAAAAATTCAAGCATTGGACTTGATCAATCTTTCGCATTGTTAAAAATTGACGAGGCATCCCAAGGCATGGAGATGGACATTTCAAATTGAGATACGGGCCTGAAGTTTCAGGTGGAGGTTATGAAATTCTCGCCAATGTGGAGATTTGTTGGCAATGACTCAAATTTTTGTTTTGATTGGTTTGGTGACATCATTGCTAAAAAGACCTATTTTAATTGGTTAGCTGACATCATTGCTAAAAGCTTATTGAATGATACAAGTGAAGCAATTTCGTTGCTTGAATCAGATGAGAGTTCCTTTGTAATTAGTGAGATGATATCATTGATTCCTAAAATTTTATTGGAGGATACAAGTGGAGCAATCAAATGTATTGCTTAAATGCAAATAAATTCATTTGTCACCACCTTGAGATGCTTATAAATAGGCATGGGTCTCTTGGTTTTGAGATCAACCCGAAAATTTTATTTATTCAATTTTCATTATCTTGTTGAGAGTATGAGAGATTTTCTTTATTGGGGCTTTGAGAGGGTAAGATTGAGTGGGTTTTGAGTTTTAAACTTGAGTGATAAGACTTGTACTATTGTAACAATTTTCTCTCAATAGTAAATAAAAGAGATGGGATCACGTTTCGTGGACATAAGTAAAATAATTTTGTTGAATCACGTAAATCTTGGTGTTGTGAGTTATGTTTTGATTTTTTTTATTTCACTTGTTTATTTTCTTATCGTTGTATTAATCAAATTGTTGCAAAGTTAATTCCCAACAATCAACATACCACTTGCAGAGATTGTAAACTTCAATTTGATTTCAAAAAATATTAAACCATGAACAAGTTCCCCTGTCAAGATTCTTTGTTTTGAGCACACAGAATTTGTTATTAACAGTTGGGCGTAGACTACAAACTTCAACTAGACATCCAAAAAATCAAGTACCAATAATATGCACATGCAATAAACTTCAAGTTGATACTTTAAAAATTTTCTCTACACAAATACTTATTAATATTCACTGTATGTATTTGTTTATCAGTTCACCATTAGCGTTGAGAAAAAAAGGTCAACCAAAAAGCTTCTGCTATGGTACAATGAATAACTTTTATTTCATCTTAGCTAGTATTTTGGCTTTACTAATATTTGCCCATTAATCTACCTCTCATGTGTGTGTGTGTATGTGTGTGAATATATACGTATTTGGATATATATATTTTTCTCTTTATATGTATTTAAATCTAAGTTGCTGCATTATATTTCTTCTGGATATATTTGAGCTCCACAGAAGCAACCTCTCTGCTTCATATTGAAGAAGTGTTTGGCCGTATAGTTGTGTGGCATGAGTAGAATGATTGTAACACAGAAATATGGGTGGCCCTAATGCATTCATAAAACTAATCTATATTGTGCTAATTACATGCTAAGGATATAGGTATGAAAGGCTATACCTGATAGCTAGAGTTTTCAGAGTAGCTGTATGTGTCATTTCCACCGTTCATCGGAAATGAGTCTTTGGAAAGGTCACCCATCTCTCTCTCTCTCTCTCTCTCTCTCTCTCTGTGTGTGTGTGTGTCTTTGGGAGGCAGATTTGGTTGTCTACTGCAAGGTCTATTCCTCTATATATATACTTAGAAACGGCTATACCTTTATGTGTTTGAATTTGAATATTCATAAAGTTACAAAAGTCGACTTTTTCCGAGTGTAAACAATACGGATGCTTGTATATGGGGACATTTAAAAGTACACTTCCCGAGATGTTTTATTTTGACATCAGTCGTGTTTAATGGTACAATAGAATAAAAATTTCAGATACTCAAAAAAATCATTTCCACCGTATTAAATTTTTTTAATATATATATATTATTGTATATAAATAATATTTTAAAAAAATTATGTTAAATTATAAATTAATCAAATATTAAATAATTGAACATATGATAGAGATAACNCGAACATGATGTTATCCCACAAGCCCAATTAGGAGAGAGAGAAAAGAAATAAATCACAATTTTTATGCTTAGTTGTTGTGACTTCAATTTGATCTTGTTTTGTGTATTATTGTTCTTAATATTTGTATTACTTATTAAAATTAAAGTTAAGTGATTATGGTATGCACTAGTANGGGGTTTGACAAGACCCCTATCTGTATATATAACTAAGAAAAAAAAAGTACATGGGAGGAGGATACAGAATTAAACCTCTAGAAGTACCAAGTGGGAGGAAACAAGTCAAAGCAAAAACAAGGCANATTATTTGAATTCAACTCTCTGCTGTCCCCACACCGAATGTCTTACCCATCCAACGACTCTCGTCTCTTAGCACTTCTTTAAATTAAAATCCATGGGCTCTCTCAATCCCCCAAAAACCCTGTACAACCTCAAACCATAGATCTAAAAACTACCGCCATGACAAACCACCGCCACTCTTCCCCTTTACCCTATTGCTTCCGCCCCACCACCAACACCTCCTCCGCCGCCAAAAACCACCACACCACTTCGTCGCCTCCATGCCTCTCCGGCAATCCCAACCTCGCCACCTCTCTATACCACACCGACTTGGGCTTATTTGCCCTCACATGGTCCCGCAATCTCTTCGGCCGCTCCCTCCATCTCCACCTCCTTCTCGACCACCCCTCCGCCGGCGCCTCCGACTACGACGACAACCTCTCTTTCCCTTCTCTCTCCACACCCTCCTTCCAGCTCCGCATCAAGCCCTTCATTTTCTGGAACAGACACGGCTCCAAAAAGCTCAATATCAACAAACCCACATCCAATATCAATATTCAAATCTTCTGGGACCTCACAAGAGCCAGATTTGGACCTAGACCTGAACCCCAATCTGGGTTCTACATCGCCGTCGTCATTGACGGAGAAATGACCCTTCTTGTCGGCGACTGTCACAGAGAAGCTTACGCTAAAACCAAGGCTACAAAACCCGAAAGAAATCAAGTTATGGTTCTGAGAAGAGAGCACATGTATGGAATCAAACTATACACTACAAAGGCCAACATTGCTGGGGAAGAGAGAGAGATATCTATCGATTGCATACATGGGGATGATCCAAGACTATGTTTCTATGTTGATAACAAAAGGGTATTACAGATCAAGCATTTGAAATGGAAATTCAGAGGAAATGAGAGGATTGAAGTTGATGGGGTTCAAATTCAAGTATCATGGGACGTATACAACTGGTTGTTTGAAGATGGTGAAGATGGGTATGCTCTGTTCATGTTCAGATTTGCGAAATCAGAATTTGAAGATGAGTACTTTACCCATTTGAATGATAGGAATAGGTTAATTTTGTGGTCTCAACAGTCATGTGGGTTTGAATTTGAGACCAAGAAGATGAAGAAGGGGTTACTGAGATCAGCTGGAAGCTCAACTTCATCGTCGTTGTCTTCGGCCTCTTCGAGCTGTAGTTCTGTGATGGAGTGGGCGAGCATGGAAGAGAATGAATTGAAGGGTCCTTCTGGGTTTTCTTTGCTGGTTTATGCTTGGAAGAGCTGAAGATGATAAAGTTCTAATCTGGGTTTGTACTCTTTAATTTGGTAGTTATATTTGTTTCTCTCACTAACCCATTTGTTCATGAACATAACAAAATAAGTTAATGTACGAGCAGAAAATAGGATTATAGTTCATAGGGTTTAGATCTAACAATCTTTTATTTCCTTTACCAAAAAGAAAAGAAGAACAGAAAAAATCATCTCCTTGTGTTGTGTCAACCTTCACAATTTGATTGAATGTATTGTTTATAATGTAATATAAATTGTTAAACAGATTGATATTGAAGATTTGATGTACCTGGTCATTTCCCCATTTATGTGGTTCCTTTGTAATGTACAAATGACTTTGGTGTTGCATCTGCAAGTGGAATTGATACTCTTTGGAACAAGATTTTCCATATCTAAGGTTCTGATTATAGTTTTTTCAACTTGCTTTTTGGCATGGTATTGAAATACTAAATTTAATAAAACCTTGTCTCAACATAAATTTTGTTTTGTCATTAAAGTTCTATACTTATTTTGGTGAAATTATTAAAAGGTTAATTTGTTTGAAATTGAACTTAATATTTTGAAATCCATCCTAGCATTTAAGGATCGATCTTAATTTTTTCTGTGGCAACCTAACCTCTAGTCTCCCCTGATAACAGAGGGCGACACTCTTGCACGATGAGCTTTTATTGAATCTTGTTGTTTTTCGAACAACACCCTATTATTATTTTTGAGAGAGCGTTTTTCATTCCAAATAAAAATCATACGAGATCGTATGAGAATTGAATCGATAGCATGTTTGTGTTCGCATAATTCACCCAATAGTTGTTCTCGTTAAAGTTTTTCATTTTTCCCCTTTGGTATTTCTTATTCAATTCTCTCAAGTCTTATTGCACTCTAAAAGTTAATAAATTTCACCTAAAAGATAATATAAATACCCAAAAAATAATAAGTAGTATAGGATTGAATTGTATTTTAGGGTATTATTTATGAACTTTTGCGTTTATCATCTCTCTTCATCCTTGCTGTGATGAGTCTAGCATGAGTTGTTTGATGATGATGGGACTGTATTTGTTTTTGGGAGATTTCTAGGTTTGCGACCAAAGTACAATCAGGGCATGTGAGGTTGGGTCACTTTCCATTGATGTTTGTCTCTGTAAGCATGGATTATAACATTTTTTGCATTATCTATATTGTTATAATCTTGAACGTTGATTAGATTGACTATGCCTGTGATCAATCAATTAAATCCTGCTTAAACGGTTGATTTAAGTTTGGGGCAGTGTTAAAATATAGAACAGAGAAGTACCTGATAGGCTGATAGCAAATGAGTACTGTTTGTTTGAACGTGGAAAATTTGTCGAGTTATGCTCGACTTTTGGTAACTAGTCAGTCGTGGGAACCTAAAAGAACGAATCTAATTTTCAGATTCTTTGTATTCAATGGCTAAAATAGTCTTAGATTTTCTTGGACAATATTGTGCTTGTCAAACTTCAACTTTTATTACAATAATTTACTATATATATATAAACAGATCGGTGAAGAGAAACCCCAAATAGAGACCTAATAGACTTGATTGCCAAAGGCAAGGGTTGACCCTTTAACTTATTGGCTAAAATTTTTTTTTTAAAAAAAATTAAAGGTTATCAACTAGACTAAAATCAATCAATTATGCAATGCTAATGTCTTGATTGAGTACTTATAACTTATGGGATGTATATCTATAATATAAAACTGGACATACATCAATAAGTTAATTCGACGATTTCAAATAGATTCATTCAACGGCGACCAACATATCTTAAAATCATTTACATTAAATTTTTTTCATATATTAATTATATTACTTCTCACTTACATTATATCGTGCCTTCAGGCACGAGTTATCTTTCATCTGACGGTCTCAAATAGACTCATTCAACGGTCACCAATATCTCTCTTAAAACTATTCACATTAAATTTCTCGCCTACTCCAAATTTATCACTTCTCTCTTACGTTTGATCGCGCATTCGAACACAAATTACCTCTTGTATATTACTATTACAACTCGCTCTTAATATTACAACTTAAAATAATATATATAACCGACCATTGACACCCACTACTTTTAATACCAAAGAACCTGAACTTTCCATTCGAGAAGTCGCTGGCAATTGTCAGAACAGTGCCTTCAAATGAGCAGATATATTAAAAATGGACTTAGAGGATGTATCTCTAGAAATAGAATTAGTCAAGTTTGAAGAAATTTCCAAGTATAACTTGTATAGCGGTAAGCTCTCAAAAGTGCTGTATGGGTTTGACTGGCTCCAAGTACTTTGAATTGTACAACAAGCACATGCTTTGCCATGTAAGCTTTTGAGAATTGAGTGGCCGTGGGAAGGGGTGGTGAAGCCAGAAAATTGTGTGTGCGTGGGTGACTACAAATATTTCAACAAATTAAAATTTACTTTTTACGATCAATAGAAATAAGACAATAATTTATATTTAATTATATTTTATTTAATACTTAAAAGGTTTATTAAACCTTACATACTAAAATTTGATAAGCTTAATATATACAAAGGGCAACATTTTTTTTTTTTACAAAATATAAGCTAATTAGAATTTTTTAAAATTGACTCCGGTGAATTTTTGTATTTTGAAACCATTGCATAACAAATTTATTATTCTTTATATATACATTCATATTCAATGTGCATTCTATAAGTTCTATCATAATTAACAAAAATAAATGTCAAATTTACAAGTGAATTAACGAATATGTATATCATGTCTTTTTTAGTCTTAAAAAGTATAAAATAATTTTAGTATATTCAAAATTTATCTATATAGGTACATAACATGTACAAAATATGTCAAAAAATTTATATGCATTTGATATAAGTGTACACTAATTGATATGCCAAAAAAAATAAGGTGGACATAATTAAAAATATTGAAATAATACTTAAAATACATATAAGTAATGTTAAAAAAAAATTGAGGGTGAGCATGTACCCCCTAGGGCATATGCCGGCTCCACCCATGGTCACGGGGTTATGGTTTAGGGTAAAGATTATGACATTGATGGTCAAGTCAGATCTTTGATAATCTAGAGATTTCAGATTTAATATTTGTCGTACATTTAAAAAATAAGCCACTTTATTTCTTCAAGAACATGTTCTAAACCCACTCAAGCTATAGTGATTAGTATCCAAACTAGAGGAAATAGGTAACGCAAGTCTGAACACACTCTAACAAGAAAAAAATTATGATATCAATAGAGTTTTTGTATTCAAAATTATTAAAAACAAAGGAAAATTATGAAGGGATGCCCTTTTTAGAACTTATTTCTCTTAAAATCCATGGCTCAGGCATTTAAGTAAGGGTGTCAATTCGTGTTTGTATCGTGTATTTTTTGTATCGTGTCATTATTATTTGTGTCATGTTTATGTCAAGGCCCACGAAAAAATATATAAATTTAATGTGTTTTGAGTGTCAAACATTAGACTAGACTATTTATTATGCGTATTTAATAATCGTATAAATTTTGTAATCAAGTTCATATCAACGGTTCGGAGTTAACACCCTTACTTTTAAGCATTTAAAGAGTAAATTATGTTTTACCCTAAATTATTACCCTTGTTTAACTTTACACCTTTAACTATAAAATTTCTCACATTGTACCTTAAAGTATTAGTTTTTGTTTCATATTACTCTAATAGATTACGACAAACTTGAAAATCTGTCAAATGAGGGAGAAAAACTCCAAAGAGCTTCCCGCTATGTGTTTAGTATCACTTTATTTTACCTCTTTTACAACCAAATGGTTACTGGAAAGAAAAAAAAGTTGGCCAGAGAAAACAAAATTTGAGCTTAAGAAGGACAAAGTCANGGTACATAACATGTACAAAATATGTCAAAAAATTTATATGCATTTGATATAAGTGTACACTAATTGATATGCCAAAAAAAATAAGGTGGACATAATTAAAAATATTGAAATAATACTTAAAATACATATAAGTAATGTTAAAAAAAAATTGAGGGTGAGCATGTACCCCCTAGGGCATATGCCGGCTCCACCCATGGTCACGGGGTTATGGTTTAGGGTAAAGATTATGACATTGATGGTCAAGTCAGATCTTTGATAATCTAGAGATTTCAGATTTAATATTTGTCGTACATTTAAAAAATAAGCCACTTTATTTCTTCAAGAACATGTTCTAAACCCACTCAAGCTATAGTGATTAGTATCCAAACTAGAGGAAATAGGTAACGCAAGTCTGAACACACTCTAACAAGAAAAAAATTATGATATCAATAGAGTTTTTGTATTCAAAATTATTAAAAACAAAGGAAAATTATGAAGGGATGCCCTTTTTAGAACTTATTTCTCTTAAAATCCATGGCTCAGGCATTTAAGTAAGGGTGTCAATTCGTGTTTGTATCGTGTATTTTTTGTATCGTGTCATTATTATTTGTGTCATGTTTATGTCAAGGCCCACGAAAAAATATATAAATTTAATGTGTTTTGAGTGTCAAACATTAGACTAGACTATTTATTATGCGTATTTAATAATCGTATAAATTTTGTAATCAAGTTCATATCAACGGTTCGGAGTTAACACCCTTACTTTTAAGCATTTAAAGAGTAAATTATGTTTTACCCTAAATTATTACCCTTGTTTAACTTTACACCTTTAACTATAAAATTTCTCACATTGTACCTTAAAGTATTAACTTTTGTTTCATATTACTCTAATAGATTACGACAAACTTGAAAATCTGTCAAATGAGGGAGAAAAACTCCAAAGAGCTTCCCGCTATGTGTTTAGTATCACTTTATTTTACCTCTTTTACAACCAAATGGTTACTGGAAAGAAAAAAAAGTTGGCCAGAGAAAACAAAATTTGAGCTTAAGAAGGACAAAGTCATAGATATGTATTTTTCTTAATTTTTGACCCACACATGTGCATTTATCGTCAAAAAATTGATCATCGTTATCTATTGGAGTGCTATAAAATAAAATTAATACTTTAAAATATAATGTGAGAAACTTTATAGTTGAAGGAATAAAGTAAAACAAGAGTAATAGTTCAAGGGATAAAGTATAATTTACCCGCATTTAAGTCCACTTTTTATTATTTGTTTGGTGACCAGGTACAATTTTTTGAATTTGCATATTGTCGTAATACTTAATTGCCCTTTAGATAAATAATTTCCTAAATTAATGGGTAATTGACAGGTTGAATTTTGAAAGGATTTCACTAATTGTGTTGCTCGCCAACATTCTTTATTTTTGGAATATATTTCAGTTTATTGGTGGTTCCCTAAAATAGTGGATAACCAAC